AAAGTTTTCTTATAATATATATATATGTGTGTGTGTGTGTTGATATATCTTTGTGTTGATTCTGAAACATCAGTCAGCGGAAATAGATAAGACTGAATAAATTACTTACCAGTAGTTATACGTTAACATACGGAAGAAAGCTCTTGCATGTTAATTAACCATTGATATTCAGTTAATACTTTATATGTTATGGCATACTAAGTAATTTCATTAAAAAGCAACCAAGTTAGGCACAATTTTTTCTTTACACCCTAAGGAACAAATAACCGCAGGATCTTTAACTTTGATAATAATATTGTTTTCTACCTACATTTAACATTCGCAACCTACTTGTAATGTGTTATCTATAAATGTTATGCAATTATATTTATATTTCGCATAATATCTATCAATGGGCTATTACAGTGTAATTTTGTGCTATACAGTCCAAAATTTTCAAATGTTTATATGTTTGTGCTTCATAAACTCTTTTCTTCTCCTTGTTGTTACAATAATTGGTTTGAATTTCATTAACTATATAAACGATATGCAATTCGATCGTGATGGTAAATAAACGCCTTTTACATCACCCTGTTTATTCATTGACATTTGTAACAACTTTAAAAATTAATACAGAATTTGAATAAGTCTGAGGCATATTTCCGTTCGACTTATGAACTCTGGCAGATTTCATTATTATACCTAATTAATGGAACATTTTTATCTATCTCAGCTTATAAAATTGCACATTTAGAGCTCATTTGTGAAAAAATAACTCAAATATTGTAAAAAAATTATTGTTTGGCACCGATGAGGCTTTCTAGTTTACGTTATTTTTTTATCTAATTACCTGACCTAAGGGAATCTTTTCATAACATGAAACCTAAATGCTATTTTCTAGTTTGGATTGAGCTATCTAATATAACATCTCATTAGCAGCTTGCATTACTCATGTGATATCAGGCTTAGGAAACACAACTATTTGGAGAGTTGTATAGCAAGATTGTAAAGATAGATTGGAGGTTAGGTAAACTAAAGACTATTAACTTTACCTTTTAATAATGGCTCGCGTTTTATGATTCAAATAGAGTTTCTGGTCGATATTAACCCATTTATTGGTGATTTCATACTTTATGAGAACTAGTAAAGTAATATATATATATATATATTACAAGTCTATGTAAGTAAACAAAAATTTATTTATTGCTCTAAATAGTATTCTGAAAAACAAGCATGTCAGAATTAAAAGTTAGAGTTAGTTAACAGTTTATTTTCATTTTCTGACTGAACTGGAGATCGAAACAGAGAGGATATTAATTCTTTATAAGAACCATTATAAGATGTCTGGTACCTATATATTTGGTGCAATGCGAACTCCCGACCATTCTGAATTGCAATGCCGCCACCTACAAACTTAACACTTTAGAATATGTCACAGTTCCTTCCGAAGAAGAATATTCGTAGAACGAATTTTAAATAACACGGAGCCACGTGACTTTCCAAGAAGGAAATCTTCAATAATCTTCATGGTAGGGAAAAAACTCACAGAGAAGAACCCACACCCCAAGCCGATCCGGAGCGATACCCTCCTCCCCTCAAAAGAAAGTTATAGTTAAGAAGGGGGGACCTTCAACCCAAAACGCTACTGAATTGAAGACGAGTGTACTTCATGGTACTGTTAATAAGTCAATAAACAAAGATTTGAAGTTGACGAAGACTCATAAGCTAAAAGTTAAAATAACAAGAGGAAATGGAATCACAACAATTCTGTTTAACCATATATCTGTCATGCCTGCCTTCCCTCTATTTTAACCATATATCTGTCATGCCTGCCTTCTCCCCCTCCCTATTGCAGTTTTATTGTAAGTGTGATTTTAGAAGTAGAAATCTGCATACTGTAGGTTTGTACAAAGTTTTTGAAATTATGTGGCCTAAAGTTGACTTTGTTGATTTTAGAATTTTCACACAAAGTACTATCTGCGCATGCTCGTCACTAATCTTGAACATATGGAGGAAAGAGAAGGAAGCTAGTCAATAACACCCACAACAATTCTTGGGCTACTCTTATCTGATCGAATAGTGGGATTTGACCGTCACTCTTATAACGCATCCAAGGTCCCAAAGTGCAGAGCGCATTCTTGCGACAATGTGTCACGAACTATGAATAATCGGATTCACAGTTCGAGCACTCTTTCTCACTAGGCCTCATCCGGCCGTTTAAGATGGTCATGTTGCCCTTTGTAGAAGCTTGTTATCATGGAAATGTTGATGCCGGGTAATACCAGGTAACCATGGCCATCAAACTAAGCACCATATGACCTATAGAAGAATTTGTTCCGATGGAAATGCTGATCCTGGAACATTACTGTTATAAAGTGTAATTTACTTTGTGTATCCTTATTTCACCTTTCTTATTTCTCAGAATACACGCACTCTATTTCTAGATAAATTTTCAAATTATCAGATCCGGTAGTATTAACTTTTCACTTCCGATTATTGTTTAGACTTAGCCATAAACAGTTTAAAACCAGTACAGAAATTGAAATTGATTGTCATACAACTTCCAAACTGATTTTAAAAGGTGACATACCTTAACTTGAGTTAATTTCTATTTTCGGTGTAAACTTGCCCAGAAATTTAGATGTTTCGGCCCAAACAATAACCAAAAGTATACATGTAAGAGCGGCAACAGACAAAGTAGAAAATGTAACTTTTATAAAATATTTTATCAAAGAAAACAATAGATGAGCTTCATTAACACCAGAATCACCATCTTTAAAACCCAAGACAACATCAGTTTTTGCTTTAGAACCAGAAGAAACTTTGTTCTCTCTCTCTACTTCTAACTTTTTCACTTTTTTTCTTCTGAAACTCATTCACTGTCCATGTATATTTCATCGCGGTCACATCCACATCGACTGTCCATGTATATCCCATCGTGGTCACTTCCACATTGACTGTCCATGTATTTCCCATCGTGGTCACATCCACATTGACTGTCCATGTATATCCCATCGTGGTCACATCCAGATTGACTGTCCATGTATATCCCATCGTGATCACATCCACATTGACTGCATTTATTGCACTTGGAACACCTTATCACTGCGAAGTTGCAATTAATAGGTTTTTGTTTATCCTTAAACACGAAACTATATAATGAGCTATCTGTGATGTTCCCACAGCGGGTATCCAAACCTGATTTTTAGTGTTTTAAGCCCCCAGACTTACCGCTGAGTTAATGGGTGGGGGGCACAAGCAATAAGAGATATAATCGTCTTCTGATGTTTTCATAGTTTTCTACATTTATTTGTATACGTTTAAAAAACAGGACTTTCGGTTATAAAGTGGAAAATACTGAACAACCCTGAACAACGTGAAAAAGATACTTTCATTTCGTCCTCACGGAATATAATACATGGATATTGTTCTAGCATAAGTTTAGTAAATTCAAAAAGTTTAGAGATGTTACGTACTCCATAGTTGTTAGCAATTTTGGTCTGGTTGAATCATGAACTTAGGGTTAGAAATAATTTTTAAATATGACCTTTTAATATTATTATCACATTTTAGCCCGTTTTGAAAAAAACAACAACAAAAAACTATCTCGTCATAATGATCAATGAAGTAATTTCTGAAAAACAAAAGGTTCGGAATATTTATAAGTCACTAGAATGCTACAATAATTAAAACTTTAACGTCTTGATATCTGAAAATTGTTCTAAATAGTAAAATAAAATGGATTACTTTTAAAATCAAACTATGGTTTTAATTCAAATGGTTGCAGCAAGTCTGTCATTAGTTATGAGACATTCCATAAGTTTATGAAATGTAATGTATATTCCATCTACTTCTTAATAACCACACATCTATTTACTCATTGATTAAAAATGTACAACATATTGCGAGTTACAATAAAGAAAGGTATCCAAAGTACTCTCTGGTACAAGAGAATGATGCCTTTTGTACTGATTGACTCAAAAGAAAGATACTCTGTATACTGTCTAACTCAAGAGAAATACATCCTGTGTACTGTTTGACACACAAAAAAAACGATACTCTTTATAATACTGTCTGACGCATTGGAAAGATACTTTGTATACTGTCTGATGGAAGAGAAAGATATCCTCTGTACTGTCTGACTTAAGAGAAAGATACTTTGTATACTGTCTGATGGAAGAGAAAGATTTCCTCTGTACTGTTTGACTTAAGAGAAAGATACCTTGTGTACTGTCTGATGGAAGAGAAGGATATCCTCTGTACTGTCTGACTTAAGAGAAAGATATCTTGTGTACTGTCTCACATAAGATAGATTCTTTGTATAGTATCTGACAAAATATATATATACTGTACACTGTTTGGCTCAAGAGATAGAAACACTTTGTACTGTTTCACCCTAAAGAAAGATATCCTGTGTAATTTCTGACAGAAAAGAAAGCTACCCTGTGTACTAATACCCTTATCTTTTGAAACGTTAAAGAGGCATACGTACGTATAGTTGACTCTGTATAAAAGAAAAAGGCTTAACACGTTCACACAACAAAGTCTATTTTGTTTTTTAATACCTTATGTGACCAACACTCGTGTGTCTGTTAATACAGCGTTACCCTAATCATGGTTGTAACTTAAAACAAGTCGACTGAGGTTGGTTTCATTGCCTAGCAATATTGGTATGCAGAGAAGTTGGTGACGTTGATAGAAGGTACGTTAATAAATATAAGAAGATTTAGTAGTTTTTATTATTTATGAGAATAAACCTGGAACACATGATTACTGACCGTCTGTAGAAATGGTTATTTTATGGCAGTGCAAGCGCTCCCTTCTGAGCATGTTACACTATAGACTAGCTGGGGACTTGCTTGGCTAGGTAAACAGTGAGGAGGAGAAGTCCTTGTCACGATGTTTGCTCTCTGTCATATCTGATAGCTGAACATTGCTGTGAGCTGGTTTCGAGAGTGCCAAAGGCATATGCGTGAAAGTCTTCTTGGTAGTGATTGTCATTTTCTTGTTTTTGCTTACAGGTAAACAGATTCACGGAATGCCAGACAGCAGGAGCTACTGAAACTCGTGAGGCTTTACCGGAACCTTGTTAAATGTGGTCCAAAGTAAATCACGTAGTTACTAAGACTCGGGATTAAATATTACCCAAGTTTCTTCGCTCACCACTTGTGGCGCCACTGTCAAGTTTGACAAAGTGGGAACACTTGTCATAAGGAGGAGGATGTGGCGTCTCGTCGACCCGTCACTCATCATGCGGCGACTGATAATGATGCTACTGTTGGCCTCAAGCAACTTGGAGTTTTCACTTTCATTACGAACAGGTAAACCAGGATTTGAATCGTATATGTACTGTAAGTTAATATTCCCGGTTCACTAAATTCTGTATTTATTTTTATGATTAGATGGTTGTGAAATACGTCAACACTGTGCAAACAGCCGCACAAACATCATCAGACAGATGTGAAATACGTTAACGCTGTACAAACAGCCGCACAAACATCATTAGACAGATGTGAAATACGTTAACGCTGTACAAACAGCCGCAAAAACATCATTAGACAGATGTGAAATACGTTAACGCTGTGCAAACGGCCGCACAAACATGATTGGAAAGATGTGAAATACGTTAACGCTGTGCAATCATCCACACAAACATGATTAGTCACATGTGAAATACGTTAACGCTGTACAAACAGCCGCAAAAACATCATTAGACAGATGTGAAATACGTTAACGCTGTACAAACAGCCGCATAAGCATGATTAGACAGATGTGAAATACGTTAACGCTGTACAAACAGCCGCACAAACATGATTAGACAGATGTGAAATACGTTAACGCTGTGCAATCATCCACACAAGCAATTATGTTTAGATTTACAATTTTATATGAACACAGTTCTCGTGTAATCAGTTATGATACGTGTTTGCTGATAACATGATAACTGTTACTCAAGTTTAACTATATAAATAGCTACACACATTTAGATGTACGTATTATGTCGTTATCCCAATAGAATTAACTTATTAGCAGATATAAATATAGATATAAAATCATTAGATAAGATGGTATTATCAAGATAGAGATCGTTAGAGCTTAGGAACAACGTGCAGCTGTATAAATGATTACACGAGAACTGTGTTGATATAAAATTGTAAATCTAAACATAATTGTTTGTGTGGATGATTGCACAGCGTTAACGTATTTCACATCGGTCTGTTCCAAATAATGTTGATGTTGATTACTATCGAATATCACTTTTTTTACTTGTGTGGTTTGCACAGCGTTAATGATGTTTTTGCGGCTGTTTGCACGGCGTTAATGATGTTTTTGCGGCTGTTTGCACAGCGTTAATGATGTTCTTGCGGCTGTTTGTACAGCGTTAATGTATTTCACATCTGTCTAATGATTTTATTTTCAGAACTGAATAAAATATAAAATAAAACAATAAAAATTTAAAGGTTCAGACTACAAACATTGTTATCGCAAATTTAACAACAACAAAATGGTAGAATAGATTTAATAAATTTATGTTTTAAAATATCTTATCACCTTCCAAAATGAAGAACAATCTATAACTGTGTATGATTTTCAGCTTGTAAAGAAACCATTTGTAAATCTGTTAAAAATTCTCCTATGAGCGTCCGAAACCGCGCTACTCTTTATCAGAATGAGGATTCCACATGTGCACGAGGTTAGAGCCAGCTTATCATTTAAACTTATGAGCTTCGGGTCGGCCACATGCTACGTTTTTGAAACTCTCCTACTACCAGAACCTAAGTAACCGTAACGTTAGGGGTATGAATAAAAGAGATAAATGAAGTTAAAGATGTACAGAGTCTATTCTCAACCCTACTACTAAAACAGAAACATAATTCATTACATTAATCTCGAATGCTTATATATATGATATTCTCGATACCACCGCCATCTGCACAGTTATAAGTTTCTTTAAAAGTTTTCCAACTACGTTTAAAATCAATATATTTATTAACAGTTAACTTTTTATTCTAGAATAAAATAGATGTTTTTAAGTTATTTACCTGAAAGATGCTCCATAAGCAATACAAAACACTGCAGAAAGAACGTAATGATGCATCCAGTGTGACTTCAGTAGGCTTTGAAAATTTTGTACAACACGAAAAAACAAAAAAATTATTAACTATCAATTATGGTTTTAAAACAAGTTGCCGATTTTCTTTCAAGGAATTGTGCACATATAGTTCAATGTTTAAACTGAACATTCAAGAGTTAAGAGTTGACCAGCTGAGTAGTAAGAGTCACATAAGAGGACCCCATGGGTTGTTTTATTTATCTCAGAGCAGCGCCATCTTGTGGTTATATTGGTAACCACTAATTTATTCTGATCATAAACAAGACGTAACAGTAAGATGTAGAACACAAATTACAACGTTTCTTAGGTTTATAAAAATACAATTTAAACAAATTGGTTAAATAATAATAATGTTAACAGTAAATTGTCGTACTAAATTCGTTGTCAGCTGTTTGAGGAGTCTCTGCTAGCCAGAGAACAAGGAGAAAAAATAGTCGCATACACGAAGGTATAATCATTACCATGCATGAAATGTAACTGTGCAGAAAAGCAAAAACAACTTGAATTAAAAAGAGCTTTTCATCGCCTCAAAACATTTACTGAAAATAGATCAGAAACTTTTTAGCGCTAACACATGTTAAGCTTTTGTGTACTTGTGAAGATCAGACAAAAATCTCACAAAAACGCCCTGTAGGCACAAATGTACAAGATTGATTAATTAATCAATGTAATTTATCTGAAAGTAAGACCATTTTGAAGCTCATTTAGACTAAGGGAAATCATGCCATTCTACCATTGAAATAAAGAATAGTGTAAGAAAAAAAATGACATAATCATGCCATTCTACCATTGAAATAAAGAATAGTGTAAGAAAAAAAAATGACATAATCATGACATTCTACCAGTACTCTGATCGAAATTGAAAAAGAACCTGACATAGCCAACAAAAGACATAACATTCTATCAATACAATGAACAACAGAGTAGGAAAAATATTACACAAAGAAAATCATGACATTCTATCAATACTGAGTGTAAGAAAAACATGATAATGACGAACGAAAGTCGTGAAATTCTATCAATACTGTGCGTAAAAAAATATGATGATGACGAAGAAAAGCCGTGAAATTCTATCAATATTGTGAATAGCAATGCAAAAAAAAAAATACAGTGAAAAGCAATGGACAATGAGAGGATTGAAAGAAACGGTTAAGATCATTTAGTTAAAAAATACTTCATGATTTTTTTGTTTTCTTCGATGTCAGATGGAAAGCGGTATAATTTATCTGCGAAAACTATTTTTTTATCACATTTTGAAAATGGTGGTACTGATAACTATGCCTGGTATTTGGTATAGGATAATATAATCTGATCGAAATATGCTTCTTGGAAAATTTACAGCCTGTAGGAAGGCTAGGTTCTAAGCCTAACTATATTTGGTCGCCTCAGTAAAAGTATGTATAATATTTAAATTCTATTGAAACTCTCCTAACGTTCTGATCGAACAACCAAGCATGCAGCACAAAGAATTTTAATGTTCCTTAATATACATTTTTTTTTTCATATAGCTTGATAGTGACGTCATGTATATCTGGAGGTTATTTATAAGACGAGCTTTGTTCACTTTCTGGAACATTTTGTTTAGCTTGGACTTACGTACTTTGTAATAGCGTCTTAAATTAAATCTACAAAATATTCCTGCCGTTAAGAAACTAAAATAATTATAAAATGTTTAATTTTGGTGAATTACGTGCCCGGCTTAATGAAACTCACTCTTGCGCTACTTAGAAGAATGTAATTTGTTAATTCAGCATTGTTTCCAAACAATATAATAATGCCTGCACAAATTGCACTAGTTGCAAGGTTATGAAGCCTTTAAAGTCTATGAGTAATAGAACTATAATTATGCTCATTTCATAAGATACTTCAGTTCTTTCGTGGTTAAGTTTATGTGGTTGCGCGTAGGTATAACTGTATCACTGTAGTCATTCAGGCTCTTAGAAGACGACGTAGGAGCGAGTGCAGAGCAGTGTGTGTTGTAACGTGTTTATTACTTATGTTCAATTATTATTTTAGGATAAAGGTGCAGTGTCTAATTTACGTTTATTTGTTTACAATATGTTTTGTTTTTGCAATACTTCGTCGCCCATATTATCTAACGACGAAATTAATCTCCACCACCTACTTTGTTTTTGTAGTTTTCTCATTATTCACACGTTATGTCTCGTAGATTTTGATTTAATTATAGTTCTATACAACGTCTACTCCCAGGCAAGTGTTTTAATTATTTTTTTGCATTCTAACCAAAATAAAATGCTTCTTAAAGTAACCTTAATGTTCTGAACACTTTCGTGTAAATGTCGTCGATAAAGAAGAAATACATCCCACCAAACATGCTCGCCCTTTCAGCCATGGGGGCGTTATAATGTGACGGTCAATCCCACTATTCGTTGGTAAAAAAGTAGCCCAAGAGTTGGCGGTGAGTGGGGATGACTAGCTGCCTTCCCTCTAGTCTTACACTGCTAAATTAGGGACGGCTAGCGCAGATAGCCCTCGTGTAGCTTTGCGCGAAATTCCAAAACAAACAAACAAACAAAGAAGAAATAGCGAATACATAAAACCAGCCCTTCCACGTCATGCGATACAGCATCAGAATTATACTTAATGTACCAAATGTGTCATTAAGTTTTAATTAAGCTTATAATGAGTGTAGTAACTCTTCATTGTCTTCCATTTCATCATCATTTATAACTATACACACGAAATCAGTGTTCGTTGATGCGGGTCGCACTTACCCATGAATAGTACTTTTCTTTGTCGTGACTGTAACGATATATTCAGCTATTATGACTAGAGTAACTTCGCATAACTCCTATTTGTTCTTATTCTAAGAAGCAGATATGTAAATGTAGCGGAATTAATTCTGTTAAGAAAGATTCTGTAAACAGTCTCTTCAAGTTTCATGGTTAAACTGTAATCACCGAATTCTTTGGGCGACAACTGCGGCAATCCAGACAAACTCATTATTTACCAAACTGAAACATCATTGACATTAATTAGAAGTATAATTATTTGCCATGATAGGTTTTTAATTTCAGTTTTGAACAACAGTTTCATTTTGGGTAACTATCATCAATTAAGTTGTAATTAACCTTTTAATCTAAATTGTTTTCGGTTTTAAAAATTAACAGTTAATTAATCCACTCTCATAAAACTCAAACAAAAATAAAATAATAAAAGTAAATATTTAATTTATCCAAAAAAAGA